GTTGCCCTTTGCTAGACTCGCTCCAGTGCCTCAATGTCCTTTTAAACTGAGGGGCCCAAAGCTGAACACAGTACTCGAGGTGTGGCCCCAGCAATGCTGAGTGCAGGGGGATGATCACTGCCCTGTTCCTGCTGCCACACTATTCTCGCTACAGGCCAAGATGCCATTGGCCTTCTTGGCCACCTGTGCACACTGCTGGCTCATGTTGAGCTGGCTGTCCACCAGCACTCCAAAGTCTCTTTCTGATAAACAACACTCGAATCACTCCTCTCCCAGCCTGCAGCACTGCATGGGGTTGTTGTGTCCCAAGTGCAGGACCAGCACTTCACCTTATTGAACATCATACAGTTGTCCTCAGCCCATTGACCAAGTTGGTCCAGGTCCCTCCATCAACGTGCAGCCAAATACAGTCAACTCTTAATAATCCTTAGCATGGATAAACCCACTGACAGATAAGCCACACCATTGATATTAGTCCAGGCTATACTCTGCTAAATCCAAGTGTTCTGTTTCCAAGATCTGTGCAAGTGCAGGAGCAGAACAACCATTTTCACACGGTGCGCAGACACAGAGCACACATGCAAACAGACCTTAGCTGCTTCTGTTCAGGGGCAGTTCAGGTCTCTGACAATGGAAAGCAAGGGAGGGACACTGAAGCAGACTAGGATGTATTCCACACAAATCCAGACAGAATAATCTCTCTGGGCTCACTACAGGTTTTGATTACACCATCACCAAGCTGAACAGCAGGCATCTGGGTACTCTCCAGTATACCCAAAAAGGTTATGGGCAACAAAAAATGCCATTTCCACTTGGCTCTTCATGTGAACTCTTTAGTGCTTCCAGACCCAGACACACTAGCAACTTAGTGCAGAACCATCTGCATGAACTTCCAACACTATGTGAATGTTTCCACAACACTGTCTTGAAACCACTAGCTAGTACAGTCACTATTATCTAGGATAACTGCACTTCCCCTATCCCATTCCACCTCCAATAACTCAAATAGTCAAGAGTTAACTACAGCTGTAAAAACAGTTAATACCTCAAAAATGCAAATTACACATCTCTTCTGCTTTCAGAGCAAATGCAGAAAACAGTGCACTCAATTTTAAGAACATCTCTTCAGGCAAATGCCATGCTAAAATAAACACTTTGATTCCAGTTTCTGTCCTAATTTCAAGGTAACATGAATGTTTAGGCTAGTGAAAAGATTCTGTAATTAATGAGAATCATGGCATCATATATAGTAGAGTTGCCTCTTTAGATTTTCACATTGAGCTCTGATAAGGATTACACATCCTTTAGAAGACATACAGAGAAGAGGAAAGAGAAGGGTCAGTTCTATGTACAGGGAATGTCCAACCAATCTGGGCTCCTTCATACTGAGAAAGAGACAAAAAAAGAATATGACAGAGGTCTAAGCCAGTAGAGATATCGGAAAGGTGAGCACAGAATAACTGATCTTTGCCACTTCATACCTTTCCCACTTTACTTTGCCTTCCTGTAGCCAGCCAAGTGGCATCAAATAAAGCCATGAGGTAAGAGGTTCAAAATAAACCAATGTACAACATGATACATCACATAGATCAACTGCAGTATGCCTTGCATATATAACATGCCTTGCAATTATATCCAACATTATGGACACTAAACCTTTATACAGAAGCAGACACTTTAATAGTGTGATGGACTATTCTTCCATTAAGCACAAAAATACCATCTCTGGTTCAAGAAGTCCCAATGCATAAACCCCTGTAGGCTGGGGAAGTATTCTGGGAAGGCACACAAGAATTTTCCCAAGAATCTAGTTCACAGTGAGAAAGAGAGCAGGCCAAATGTTGTTTGGCCTCCACAATATGCTTCTCTCCTCTTACTACCTCAGGCTGTCACTTTTAAGCTCTCTGTAAGATCCATGACAGTACTGCTCCAAGAATGCTAATAATTCTAATTCTGTATTTGCCAAAGACCACACTAGAGAACTTACTGTTTGCCCTCAGCTACTGTACAGCTAAGCACAGCTAAGGCAGGGTAGATGTCTCCAATCAGAAATATAAAATCAAAAAAGCAAATACATAGAAATGGTGATCTCCAGAAGGTCAGACAAGCAGCACCAGACCAGTAAAAGGAGAGGGAGCAGGAGGAAGAATGCACACAAAGGAACCTCACACCACTTGGGAGGCAGGGGAGGGACAAAACCCCTCACAAAATACCAATATAAACCACACCACACACCACCACAGTGTACAGCCAATCAATAATACTTAAAAACAACACAAGTTTGATTCCCAGACTACTTTGTCTTACATATCTTATAGTGCCCCAGAGTTCTGAAAGGCAAGATAACACCATGACAGAAAAATTCTAAGGTTAGGCTATTTCAGTTCCAGTTGTGCCTGACTTAGGACAGCTAATAGACAGGCTGCTGCTGCTGCTGAAATAGTCCTGGCCATTCCCTTATGTCAGCACTAGCATGGGCAGCTGGGTCAGGGAAAGGATTCCCTTTAGCTGAAAAGGAGAGGGGGAAAAGGAGAAGTTTTAAATGCTAGTACCATCACAAAGGAGAAGGAAGTAATGTATAGCGAGGGCCTTCCCCGGAGTAACAGCACCTTGCAGCAGGTTAAGAAAATCACAGAACCCTCTAGTGAAAGGTCAAGAGACCACCAAGTTTCCTGACATAAAAGAAAATACAGTACCTTCAATGCCCAAAATACATTTCTTCACCTTATCAAAAATCAGATATCCAGAAGACTGTTAAAAAAATCTACAAAGGCAGCAGACCATGTATGAGCTAAGCTATCTGCATATTCAAAACAAAATCCACACTGGTTTTCTGCCTACAAAAGGAAGCTACTTGTAGCCAGAAGGCAGAAAGAAGCATAACTTTATATCACTGACATACAATCAGCAATTTCTTCACTTGTTCGGAAAACATAAGAGAATTTAATCATTTCTACACTTAGAGAAAGACCTGATAATTACAGGTTTACACAGCTAGATCCTTACAGGGTTTTACTGGAAATATTTGATTCAAAGTTTCTTCAGGAATACACTTGCACCTTTTTATCATTTCACTTGGCAACAAACAGTGTAACAGCATTAAAAAAAATCCTAGTATTAACCTACTAGAAATGCCATTTTAAACTGGCAATCCCATTACATGATCTTCAACAGTATTTCCTTAAGTCTGAAAATCTTCCGGCACGATCTCGTTAGGCAATTCTTTGAGATGAAAGCTTCAGGTTAAGAACGTAGACTTCTGAAATGCAACACCAATCAGAGTTCATTTTCTCCAAGGCTCACATCCTTTTGTAGAGCTGCTATTTAAAGGACATTTGGTCCCTAAGGTAGAATTTGCTGTATTCAACACCATGGACAAGATCTGTTACTGAAGCTGATGTTTTCAGAAGGAAATATAAATTTTTAAGCTTCTCAGCTATGAAATTTTCACCATGAAGCTTTCAATGATTAAAATACTTGGACATTAAAATTACAGTAACGTGTAACATCTTTGCCATTTAAACTTAAATAATTTCACTCTTACACAGTTATTCACTTTCAGACAAGGATTTATAATTACAATTAATAGAGCTATAAGACAGATAACTAATTAGATGCACAGATCTTTGATGAACACTGTCAAAATAAGTTCTCAAGACTTTATGTGAGGAAAAAGTTTCAAAATCACCACAGAAAACAGCAAAGCATTCCCAAATGCTACTCTAAGTATAAAAACAGGAAACACTGCAGCTTCACAAATTTTACTGTATCTTTCAAGAGGTTTGAGGCTTTCTTATTACTAACTTCCTAAAACACAAAGTGTTCAGCTGCCATTTCTGAAGAAATTAATTCAACACTACCATGTATCAGCCTCTCTGAGAGGAACAGTATTTTTAAGACTAAAGTACTGGGCCAGTACTTTAGATGATAGTTTCACTGACACATGACAACACAGCCTCAATACAACCTCCCAACACCCACAAATGGCACTGAGTTCACTAACACATGTGAGATAGCAAACACCAGAATGGAGTATGCTGAACAGTGCAGTCCAAGGGTAGACAAGGGATCAGCCCAAACATGAACAGGCTCTGTGTTCCTGCAACTCAACTGCAACACAAAGAGCAAAGCTGCATTGACACCGAGCTAAGATATAAATAAGCTACAATATTATGTATGCAGCACAAAATCTCCAGAATACAGTTTACACAGACTGCCCAAATGAAATCCAGAATCCAAATCATACTTTCTCCTCTCAGAAGAGAAAGGGCTTAGTATGAAAATGACCAGGCTATTTACAGATAGATGATGGATAGGAATTTAGAAGTATCTCACAAAAAGAGAAGGAATTCCAGAAGTGATTGAAAAGCTAATTGAAATTTTTCACTCATATCACCCAGCTATTAGTATAAACATAATCAAGTCAGGATATTCAGTGGAGACTTTCTCTAGCAGTTCTACTCAGCAGGAGCAGAACTGACAATAACCTGAAGGATGAAATTGGAAAGATGCAAGGCAGAGGTAATCACTACTGCAACTTTTCAGCTCTAACTTCTTTGTTACAGAACCTATTAGTAAATCAGGCATGAAAGAGCTATCCTTTGAAAATGCACTGGTGCATTCAGTCTGGGCTATAGACATAAAAATTCCACTTTCCTCCATGAATGGTGCACTTTCAACAGCTTTCTATAAATGCTCACACTCCAACTAAATACACATAAAATTTATCCATTTTACCCATTAAAATCTTACATTAAAATGCAGCTCTTCCATTGTAACTTTTTTCCTAAAAATGAAACTAAAAATAATGATTGATGTTCTCAAACCAAATTCAACTTAAATTGGACAAATAAAGGTTACTATAAAATAGTTATCTTTTTCCAAACCAGCCAGGGTTTTCATTTAGTTTTAGGACCCCTGCAATTTTTTTCCTCACAGATTTATTTCCCTCATACGAAATAAGAGAGTTCACAAAAAAAAAAAAAAAGAATAAAACTTACCCCCATTATCTGTTCTCTTTAAAGCACCATCCTTATGAGGGCATAATTCACATCTCTAGGAAAAAAAGCAAAAATAAAATAAAAAAAATGGAATGATCACAGAAGCATTGAAAAAGAAACCACACACATCAAAACTGTTATCTGACATTAAGGAAGAAGCCATTCTTTGAAAGTGAATGGGTGTGTTTTCCCTTAACCTCTACTTGAATATTAATGTTACTTTGTGACAAATGAAGCTTTCTCCTCCAGATCGTGAAATTATGACATACATTAAAGCTATTCACAGCTCTGCCTCAATGATTTTATTCCTCAGTTCCACATCCTGGATGTCTGGAGACAAGTCCCCAAAAACTGTAGCATGGGGTAGGCTTACATGCTAAGAAACTTGGGCACAGTCCAAAAACTCCCTGCCATACTTCCTTCTCCTAAGACATCTGCATTGACCAAGGTGGTCAATCACAGATGTGCCATGGATCTAGTTGGCACAGGTGCACATACTCCAGCTGCCTACAGTCTCTGCTGACTCTCACTCATCCTAAGAGACCAAAAACCATCTCACTTTCTGCCTCAAAGAAAGGTCAGAAGTTAACTCATCCCTAAAATTCTCAAGACTGCATGTCTGGAAACAAGCAGCCTGACGTAACACACACCCAGATCACAACACAACAGTCTTTCTGCTGTCATTGCCTCCTATGAAGCTCCTAATATCAAGAGATGACAGAACTGGATCAGGTTTGACAAACATTCCACTTCAACTTCTCTAAATGACATGCAATGGAACACCATTATAGGAGATTCTGTACCTAGAATCACTTTATTACAAGCTTTCTGTATTCCCAGACTAGGGACAACTCAAAGCACACCAACTTAACAAGCTTTTTAAGCAAATGAAGAACTGTCTGATCATCAGATGCAAACTTCACGTCACATCCTTCAAATGGAGAGGGACATCTGGCATCAGTGCAGGTCTCCTCCGTGTTTCCTGAACAGTGCTATTCTCCAGTACCACCTAACTGACAAGACAGAAGATAAAGAAGCCTATGATGCTAGAACTGCCTCAGAAAGAGATTGTGCAAACTTATTTGAGGAACCAGAAATTCCATTCCTGAAATTCATATGGCTAAAGTATATCTGAAGGATTATCTACCTTAACCTGTAAGATTACCTTTCTTAACCTCTAATAAAATTTATATTAGCAGCAAAGAAGCTTTCACAAAGGGTAGGACAGAAAAATTCTTACATTATTTTTGCTCAGTGCATTGGTACAGACAGCTGCACCCAGGAAGACGAATCTTTAGGATTGTAGCCTTTTGTCTTTTGCTTAATTCATCTCTCCCTCACATTCACTCACTGAAATGATCAGCAATTTAGTGAAAGGCAGCATTGAGTCTATGGTGAAATTTAGATATTAAAGTGGTTGAAAAATCCTGAATCATCCTGTAAGTTGCCTGCAGACTGGGAGAATTACACCTTTTTTTTAAAGACTCTGAAAAGAAGTGATCGGTTCTTTTCAAATGAAATCCTATATATGCAGCATATACGTGAGCTGTATCTTAACAATTCAGCTCTCCAAACATTAAACACTAAGTACTGAGAGACAAGTGGTAGCAGTAGTTTCATTTCAAATGAATTTCTCATACACTAAACCAGATTCTCAAGGCAAGAAGCCTGGTATGTATTGGTGGTGACAGTGCATTAAAACTTGGACCTTGCCCCACCTCTGCATACCTGTGGAAGTCTGACATACATTTTCACTAGTGGTAAAACCAGTTTAGGAGGTTCTCCTCTTCCCTTCACCTCTCCCTTATTAATCTCTCCCTCCAGCACTCCCTCAGCTGCTGACACAACCATCTGTAGGGCTGCCCCTTAAACCAGATCAGTGAAATGGAGTGGAATGAACTTTTTCTTTTTAACATTTTTAATTCAGGTCGCATCACTGATGCAGTTTAAGCACAATCCCACAATCAGTTGCATCAGCAAAACGGAAGGCAGGGACCCACAGCACCGCAGCATTAGTAATTAAAGAATTAGCAAGTTTCTTGAGCAAACTTTACTGCCAAATAAATAAAAATCATTACAGGACACTAAGCAGCAAGGAGCTAACCCAGTCCTTTATGCAGGACAGTTAAGCATGCCCCATTCAGTGTCATCAGCACTCAGCTTCAACTGATTTATTTCTGTCTCCTATCTCTGAAAGGACACAGGTCCGTTAGGTTCTCCCTCATTAATCCTCTGCAGCCCTGACTGCAACCAGTCAGAAAAGATACAAGACAGAAAACTGAAGAGTAGGAGGGAGCTTTGACAGCGGAAGAAAACTTGAGAGCAGAAAGTTCTGCAGAGTATCCTCTCACTGGCAGGGAGCAGGATGCCCCGGGACAAGGGTAGCTCTGCAGAGGTATTTGCACTCTGATGACACGGGAATTCTGGCTCCAATCTCTAACAAAGTAGTACACTAGTAAGCTAATACACCAGTGACCCCTCCTACTCCCCTCTCTGGGTTATGAACTAACTCCTTCCCAGCCCCCACACACTCAGATTCTGACAAGTTTCAATATGCACCACACGGTAACACCAGTAGCTCTGCCAGGTGAGAAGAGGGAACCTCAACCCTTGAGTCAAGTAACTAAAAGAGAGGGTTTTTTTTCTTTAAACACCTTATTACTAGTTCTAAAAAGGATGGAATAAAGTTCTGATCGTTTGATCACGTCTGTTGATGATGTAACAGTACATGGAATAATCACACCATCCCAACAGATGGTCTCCAATATTTGAGCACATGCACCCGGGCAGGGCTCTTTTCTTCACTTGTGTGTTTTAAGTGTTATCTCTGGCAAAGGATTTCTGACACAAATTAATTGTCTGAGCATTCAAAAACATTGTGGGGAACTACTCAACTAGTTGGGGGGCAAAACAAGATATCAGAGCATAAATAGGGCAAATTGCTATGATTGATCAACAGATAAACATCACCAGGTTAAACAGGACAAACATGAACACTAAAGAGGCTGACTGTGACCCAAGAGAATAACTACACCCTTCTGTGTGCTGAAGGGCACTAGTCCTGTAGCAGGGAGGTACAGCAGGGCACATGGCACTGCAGGGCACAGTCAGCTGAATTAGATCTGAAGAGAAGTGAAACAGGCACAAATACAGGGTGAAGGAAGATTGAATTAAGTTGTAGAAACGGACATCATCCCTTTCCTTCCTGTCCTTACAGAGTGTAACATGGACATCTCATTTTTGCAGCTCTTTGGTGAAAGAGACTAAGTTCATGGACCTAGCTTCTGTCCAGGCAGAATTGGGGTGAAC